GGGGGAAAAAAGAAAAAGAAAAGCCTGAAAGCTAAGAAAATAAAGAGGACATTTTTTTATGTGATGGCAAATCAGGGAAGCTTTCGGGCACCTACTGTTTATGATTGAGAAGGCCTTCATATGTTAAACTTTGTGCATTTATGAAGTATTAAATAGAACCCCGTTCCTACGAAGTAATACCCAACCCCTGCAGCTCAGCCTCATGTCTCCTGCAGCAGGCTGTCAGAGAAGCCTGCGTGGAAAGGTCTGGAGCCTGAGTCTTAGTTAGCAATCACAGGGAGTCAGTATTCTCCAGTATGATGATTTTATACTCACACATACACAGCCCCGAACAGAACATGCACTATACCACCGTTTATATACCACAGTCATGGTGTGTGTTCTCATGCAAATGCTTTCATAGAGCGTGTGCTAACGCACACACACACACACACACACACACACACACACACACACAGAGTCTTTTTCAACTGTGAATTTTAAGGTTTTAGCTAAACTTCCGAAAGGCCTCCTTTACAACAACTGCAAGATAACTGAAACCCCGATGAATCAGTTTCTCTCCTCGCAAAATGGAGGTTAAAATCAATAATAATAAATGGATCGTTTGGAAAGTACCTGAGATCCTGAGGCTAAAGGTAGTATATAAACATACGAGAGCCCGATCTTGTAGAATGGACACACTGAACCACCCCTGGGTGTTATTTATCCACCAATGAAAAGGCTGATGCGAATACACAGCTGGCAGCACGGGTTTCTTCTCAGGATGCCTAGAACTGAGCACCTGATATAACTACACGGCCATAGTAATCCAGGTGTGTCGACGGTTTGGAGAGCAAATCTCTGAAGTATGCATTTCTCGGCTCGTTGTGCCTGCCCACACGCAAGCACAGGCACAAACCGTGCAAACCTCCTGCTCTTCTCTGCAAAACTGCTATCATTTCATTCTGGTCTATTACTAGATTATATCCCCAGTAATGGCGATGGTGGTCCAGGGAAAAAAAAATAAAAAGAGCAAATAGCAGAGCAAAGAATAGCGAGGTCTGATGAAGCACGGAGCCCCAAAACCCTGGGGTCCCCCGTTTCATCTTTAGTTACTTGTCAACCCAGAGGCCTGGCCTATAGGAACCAAGCTCGCCAGCCTTTGCATGTGGGTGAACTTTCTAGACAAGGGCAGTGAGGACTGACGGGAAGAAACCAGATCCATAGCTGGTCCCCGCTGCGTCCGCGCCCAAGCCTCTTCTCTCTGAAGCCAGGCATGGCCAACCGTTCGTTCCCTTTGGGTGAATCTTGCAAACTGAAAGCAAAGGCGAGTTTGAGAGGAGGCGAAGGCAGAAGATAGAAGCCTGGCCAGGAATAGGGAGACGCGTGGCCGGAAAGCTTGCCTCTTGGGAGAAGAAGCATTCACACTGTGTCCACCCACCCACCCATCACTGATTATCCCCCCAAATCAAGGGAGCCCACGCTGCTCCTGCCCGCACATCAGCCCCTTCCCTGGTGGAGTTGGGTCTGCTTCTCCCACAGAGGGCGGCCAGACAGGACTCTGCCGGAAGCCCGCAGGTCACCACCGGGGCCTAAACTGTGACAACAGGAGAAGGAATAAGACTCAGAACTGAAACATCTGTCAGAGGTGGGGGTGGGGGGTACGGGGGAAGGTCAGATTCAACTGACAAACCGCTTTTTAACCCGGGCAAGTACTCACCTGGAGCTGGCATGAGGGTTGACAAAGAAAGTCAGGTCAAAATCCAAAATCCAAATGAGCGAATCCAAGGGTCTCTACCCTGGCCTCTTTTCCTCTGTCCCCAGGTCATCAGGTGTGGCTTAGCTGACCAAGGACATGGCCCTGATCAATTCCACCAGGTTGTCAAAAGGGGCAAAGGGGTCTGGCCTAATCCCGCCACTAGTCCTCGGTCTCAAACCAGCTTTGGGCGCCGAAAGGACAGCGGTGGAGTGCCGAACGCTTGCTCCGACATTGACTGAGCCACTGAGGACCTCAATCCGATCTTTTATAGTGCTTTGTTTATTACCTGTGTGCCCTTATTTCATAAGGGAACTGAGAAAGAGAGAGAGAGAGAGAGCAGGAATGATGAAGATGACTATTAGTAGCACTCCAAAGACAGCTTTTCTTAAGCTTCATTCATAGCAGCGAATGTGGCCAAACAACCCAGCAATTGTTCTCTCAAATGTCACCTTTCTGTATGGGCCACTGTGCCGATAAAACTCGGCTCTCTCGTTTTTTTGCTCCCCCTGGTTCCCCCACACACACACATACACTAAAAAAAAATTGCTGTGTGATCCTCTGAATATCTCCAGAGAAACTGAACCTACAAGGAGAGCTTTTCTTCTTCTCCCTGCCACCCCCCCTCCTCGTTTTTTCTTTCTTCTTCATGCAGCTCGAACAATTTGGCTCTGTTCTGGGTGCATTCCTGTGGCCCATTCTCTTTCAGTCCCCTGCGCAGGGCAGAGAACGGTGGACCAGGAGAACACAGGCCCACATTCAGACCCAGGACGGTGCTTGGGGCTGGAGGGGTGGGGGGTTGGGGAGAAAGGCGAACCAAATGTACCTATGATTGTTACGCCACCAACTTAATACCTGGGCAGAGAGACAAAGGCTCTTTAGAAAAAGTCCAGGCTACAGGGTAACCCGTTCCCTCTCCCTCCAGGAGTTCAAAAGATAACAGGAGCTGAAAATGAGGCTCTAACATAATTAAAGTTTTCCAAGTCACTGCAGGAGCTATTACAAATGATGACAGAGAACTTCACTGCTGGCCCCCTTCGATGAACAATCCGTGCTCATACGTACAGAGTGTGTGTGTGTGTGTGTGTGTGTGTGTGTGCATGCACGCGCACAGATGCACACACAGCCCTCCATTCCTGGACAGAGTGATCAATACGCTCAGAGCCCTACACCTTTTACATAAGCAGAGGTGTAATCATTGCTCAGAAAGTCCCTGATTTAAAGGGAACCTGCAAAATGACAAAGCCCTCGCAACATGAACCCTATTTTATTCTTAACCCAGGGTAAGTGGACATTTAACCTTTTTCTACCCATGTGTTTATTTTTGCTTGGGGTCCAGAAATTGCACTTGCCCGTGGGAAAGGATGGAGGGCTCTGAATAAGTTCTGATGATCGAGGAAGGGGGATCACTGTCGTTTAAACAAATAACAACACGTTTCGAGGGCCTGTCCTGGAAGCAGGCTGGTGCCACGTGCATTATAGTCAGACATCAAAGGCCAGCATGGACACAACGCCTCATGGTCCTTAGCTCCATGGTCCTGGCGAAAGTCTTCATGAACAGAAAGAGCTTGTAGCAAGAAAACTGGTGAGCAGCACCAGGAAGACTCAGGCCTAGAAGGTCACTGAGAAATCAGAATATGTACTTGAGTCCCAAGCAGGATTTTTCTATCTTGTAATTAAAAACAAACAAAACAAAACAAAAAAACAAACACACTTAGGAAACTGCTCCAAACCACAGCTTTATTTATGTGTTTCTCAAACAGACTGTAAGCTCCATGAGAACAGGGACTAGATCACTGGGTCCCCAGCATCGAGCACCCACCCGTAAGTACTAAATGACTCTTGTTGAGCGTTGACAATTTCCAGATTTATAAGGAAGAGAAAAACAAATGCACAGTGGTGGCTGGAGCCAGCTGGACCCACTCGCAGGGGCCGATTGTTACATTTACAAGAGTTCTGTGAGCCAGTTGATAAACACAGCTACTCTTAAAAGTTAAATTCTATAAACACAATTAAATAAGTTATACTAAAAACAAAGGTAAATAAGCTTATCACTTCCATCCTATTTTATAGTGTTTTTACTATTATCTCTGCTCTTGAGTTTCTTTACACTTCCTGTATCGATATAATGAAATTCTGTACAATTGTAACAGTTGCCCATCTCTCTCCGACTGTGTGTGTGATGATGTCACATTCTTAGCTTGACGTTGGCCATGGCAGGAACGTTGATACCGTGGAAACTTTAAAAAAATCCTACAAATCAGGGTTTGATTTATGGTTTTGTGATTGCCTAGACTTAAGAGAGTGATGAAGAAATTGCTAACAATGTAAATTAAACATAAAAGTATATCACTTCTATAGTAGTTACATTGTGCATGGTCAAGTATAAATATAAATATAAATCTTATGGAAATATTCTTTCAGTATTCAAAAACTATTCTTTTATTCAGTGAAGGAATTACTTACATCATTGACTAAGAAATGAGGTTCCAACATGTGTCTTCATTGTTTCATCTAACCCGTTAACCAAAATGAAAATATCAACCAGCATTTGTGTTAAAACTATCCTCTCTCATCAACTGCAAAAGAACACTGAGTGGAATGTTTTTCGAGAATAAATTCACTGCCTGGAATTTACAATAAAGGGTATTGCATATTTTATAATTATCTGCAAATTACGTGCTACACATCCCTTATGTCAAGATTTATCATCAGCTTATGCATGTATAAATGTGAATGGTTTTTTTTACAGAGCTGGTTGTTAGACATTTATCAGCACACCACTGACCAATAGCATAACTGCGGGTAAAGAAAGGGGGTAATTTTAGTGATTTATAGGACAAGTAGAAGTATATGTGTGTGGGGGGGGTTCGGGTAGTGCATCACTTGAGTTGGGTTTAATAGAGGCAGACCACAAAATGTTGAAAGAAGGCTATTGGTAGCAAATGACAGTGTAAGCTATGCCTACTGTTTCATCGGAGCCACCGAGAACATGGCTCGTTGAAATACAGGCAAAGGAGGCAAGACCACCCCCCTTAATTGTTCATACACCTGGATAGTGTTTTACAGTTTCCAAAAGGTCTTTTGCACAAACTATCCTGTGAGTCCCATAAGGGCCTTGTGATAAAGACAAGATGGGGAGTATCTCCACTTCGTGGATGAGCCCATGAAGGTTCGAAAGGCTTGTTTGTGTGCCCAGAGTCACAAACTCAGGTAAGAGTAGAGCCCAGGTCTTCTGATTCCCAGTCCTGTGTTCCTCAAGGGAGGATCACAATACACCCTTTGGAGCAGCTCTTCTGGAGAGTTCCATCCCTCTTGGACCTGAGTGTGAGCACGGAGGCAGTGCAGTGGGGAAAGGAGGCACCGGGGAATCTGAAAGTCCCGTTGTCAACCTCACTCACACTCACTAGCCCTGTCTCCTGGGGCAACGAGGTCAGAGTCCAGGCTTTGATCTGTCGGTCACGTACAGCCCCGGGGCAGCCGCCACCAGGCCAGAGAACCAACGCAGCAGATGCTACGCAGTTCAGGGCCCATAGCAGCACGGATTGGAGTGCTGGTTTCATACTTTATCTTTTTGTAGAGTAACAGAAACCTTGGTATTTTTTCAAGCAAAATCCTACATGAAACAGCAAAACGTAATTCAGACTAAAAGGTGAGTTTCTGTGGTTGAGTAGAGATAGATGGAGGGGCCCGCCAGTTAACAGTTACAGCTGCGGTCTGCTCATGGGGACCCTTAAAGCACCCCAAAAACCATAGTCTCCTGGAACTACTTTTTAGAAATCCACATTAGGATTTAATTGTAATGAGGGCAGTGTGTGTGTGTATGTGTGTGTGTGTGCGTGTGTGTGTGCACATGTGTGTGTGCTTGTGTATGTGTGCATGTGTGTGGGTAGGTGGGTGTGCGTGTGTGCATCTATGTGTGTGTGTGCGCATGTGTGTGTGTGTGTGTGTGTGTGTGTGTGTGCACACGCATACCCCCCGGCGGGCAGGGGGCCCCAGGTTGCACTGTGGGTCTCCCCCAGAAGCTTGGCTAGGTTCCTTGGAATCTCCTGCCACTGGTCACAATGGGCAAAACGAAAGCATGGGGCCCTTTAGTAGAACTGGGTGGAAGGAAACAAAGCTTGGAGCATACATCGTACCATAGAAAGGCAGGCAGGTGAATCTTTAATCACAGTGATGCCTAGCAGGCTTGTTAAACTCCCAGCACAGCTCTGAGCACTTCAAGTGGATTATCATTTTAAACGGTTTACAGCCTCCCCTTGAGATCGACACTCCCATCATCTTGACTTTGCAGACAAATTCATGCTTCACGAGATTAAGTAATATCTTCGAGCTTTTCCTGCGTGTAAGTGGGGAAGCCGCATCAGGGCTGGCTTTCTGGGCGTGCAGGGGCCCACGCCTGTTCTGCAGGCTTCGTCTCAAAAGTCTTAATAATTTTATCTTTGAATTTGTGTTTTGTGAAGTCAGACGGAGCACATCCGGGGTCTCGGGGGCTCTGCTCACCTGTGGTCCTGCCTCTCTGGGATGCGTTCTCAGCCACATGCTCCCCCATCCCTCAGGCTCCAAGTCTGCCTGTCCTCCCCTGTGCCACCCCTGCCCCGGACCACTGCCCACCTTGGGGCAGCACCTGGGTCCTGCAGACAAGGAAGAGCTCGTGTTCTGTCATCACCCTCCACACCCAGCGGGAGCCTGAGGCCAGGCACACGAGAGACAGGGTCAAGTGCAGACCCTGGGTTTCTTCACTGAGGAGACCCCAGCCATTTCCACCTGGGGCGAGTGAGGAGGCCTCTCACCCACCCCCGCCCCAGATTCTGAGCATGTCCTGGAACGAAGCTTGCCATCTCTTTGAGGTCACGTGTCCACTATGCGTCTGGGCTGCGGGCCCGTGACTTCCCTGCTCCCAGGCCAGGCCTCGCATTTTCATTTTGCTGTGGACCCCATGCGTTCTGTTCCTCGACCTCGCTAAGGTTCAAACCCAGACACCTCAAGTCAAGAGATGGAGCCACTGATCACCGTGCAGGACGCCTCCCTCTTCTGCCCACGAGGGCCGGCACCTTTCTCCTCTTCCCTTCACTGTTCAACCAGCTTCCCATTCCAGCACTGATGGACCCCTCCTTTGCCGGCAGCCACGTGACAAAAAGAGGGGAAGCACGCAACAAACCAAGGGCCCCGGGTGGGTCCTGTGCTCATCCCACAGGAAGAGGGACTTTCCTTTCCCACGGGTGTATCTGCCCACAGGTCTTCTTTT